ACTGAATGGACTGACTGGTGAGCATGCCCATTGTGGTGGAAATGCTTTGGAGGCTCTTTGAGACTACAGGTCGAAGATTTTTTTTTGTTCAATAGAAAAAGAAATGAGAAGAAGAATGGCTATTACAGTTGGGGATAAGGGACATTTGAGCACAAATTTATTTTCAAAACCCACTGACTGTAATACACTTTTGCATTTTGCAAGTGCCATCATCACCATTTGGAGGAGAATTGGACAATTTCTGAGGATCTTTCAGATATCCTCTAACGAAGATCTAAGTTTGCACACTGAGATCATAAGAAAGAAATTTATTCAACAGGTGGTGTTAGAAGGCACTCACACAAGCCTGTGAGGTATTTTCTCTGAATCTTCTTGAATGCCTAACCCAAAGAGGGTTCTCTTCATACAGTCAACAACTTTCCCTTAGATAGATTCAAGAAGCTTACCATCCACCACTATCATATTCGTCAGACAGCAATCTTTGCCCTGTGGTTAAAAGACGTCTACTTCACATGTACCTTAGTCAGAATTTGAAAGATCCTCTCCTCGTTAGAAAGAAAGGTATAGAAAAATCAGTTTTATATCTCCAACAAAAAGGCTTATTACAAAAACAATGTGTATGCAGCTCTATTGTTTGTGTACCATCGTTCTATTGGTCATTTTCTCATGAGCTCACATTCATTAATATATATTGGAAAAACAGCTGTTCAAGAGCCATTTCCAGAAGCACAGGAGTGACATTATGTTGGCACTCAGTTGAACCACATTTTGTGCATGATCTGCACCAGATTCATGCGTTTAGAGGCATGGTCATAAATCGTGTACTGGGTTTAAGTCAATATGGTGACAAAAATCAAAATATTTATTGAGAATCTTTTTGGTTTCATACCTTGCAGACAGTGGCCCAGAAGGGCCTTAAAATGGAATAAAAACCCAACTCTAATTATTCTTAAAAATGTTCCCTCCCCTATACTCCTACCCATTCTGAATACTCTGTATAAAAAATGTTCTGTGTACTTACCTTTTTCTATTCTGGTCTGTTCACGTTATTCAGTAGCACTGGCTCCTGTGTGTTGAATAGAGGCTGCTGCAGGGGAGAGAAGGAAGTTCCGACATGGGAGCCTATAGGTGACATCACACCTCCTGAAATTCCCAGCTGTTGTCAAACACTCCCTACGCAAGAGAGCCAGAGCTGCTGAATCACATGTCTGAACCAGACCAGACTTGGAAATATTGGTGATCTACTGTTTATGGTGTCTCTGTTTGCCACTCACCCTTAAGGCGTGAAAGGTGAAGGTGTGGGATAAATGTTATGCCAAGTTTGTGGGGTCTAAATAAGATTAAAGTTTCTTTTTTGGAGAATTTTTGTTTCCGGCTGTTTGTTGTCTGATCAATGACTACATGGAAGACCTGAAACTAAAACCATTTGGAAAGGGAGTCATCTTTTTTTTTTTTTTTTTTAACTGCAGAGCCTTTCCTGTGGTAAATGGCTTTCAACTGCAGCAATCACAGAATGCTCCAGAGGGGTACTGCTTGTATTTTATGACAAATTAACCCACCATTGTAGTTCGTTTCGGAAATGTATCCCTGAGCATCGAAATTTGATGTTTTGGCAATTTCCACCAAGCTACATGCATGTAAAATATCTAATATATGTATTTGTTGATACTCTGAAATGGGACTAGAGATTTCAAAGAGAAAAAAAAATAGAAATGAAATAAGCAAGGTTTCATATGGTATTCAAGCATGCAGCAGATTTTTTCCCTCACTAACCCCTTTCTGTCAAATCTAAGGGGATTCAATCAGTACAGTAGAACTGTACACAATTTCTTTGACTGGTCTACAGTGGAATCAGAGATGGTAAGCAGGGCATTTGGTTTGCTCCACTACCTAAGTCTTACCAAATTTCTTAAGTCTAGCGAGCTTTTCATGGCCATGACCTCGAGAGCAGTCCTGTTCAGTCCAAACAGAAAGACGTTTGTATAACTGAGAAAAAGACAGCTGTTTTTTTCTAAGAGTCCAAAGAATGGTTCCACTTGAGTGGCGCACTGTGTGACATCATTAATCACCAATTTAAGAATGTGAGCATAGCACCACGTGTGTACAGTATTGCATGACAATCTTTTGAAGTGGGCCTGTACTTATTATTGCTCCCACTTAGATTCGCGGCACCATTAAATGAGCAGCCAAAAATGTTAATAAAACTCAATAACTTTTCCAAATGCTCTTTCAGAATACCGAACAGGCTTTCTGCAGTTGTGCTGCTAACATAATTAAGAGAGAGTCTCTGCTGCACTGTTCCCCTTTTTGACATTTCACAGAATTATGTTGTATTGTTCTTTCACTGAAACATCCTGTGTATTGTCCAAATCCACACTGAATTTAGCAGCATCCCTAACACCATGGCTTATTTGTTTTTCCACTGTGCTGCTCATGGTGGAGATCAAGTTATTGACTGAACTTAACAGTCTTACCAAACCACCTCTCCCTCTACTACTGGGGTGATTTGCCTTATTCCTTTACTACTCAATGGCCCCAGCGTCCTCAACATGCTTGTGGAGAATATTATATTTGCTAAGAAGCAAAACAAGCTCAAATTAATATGATTTTGATGAGGGTAAAGTATGAGCAACGTCAGCCTGCTAATGTAAGCAAGGCCTAGTTTGGCAATGCACAGAATGATATCAGTATTTTAACCACTTGCCTACCGGGCACTTATACCCCCTTATTTACCAGGCCAATTTTCAGCTTTCAGCGCTGCCGCACTTTGATTGACAATTGCGCGGTCATGCAACATTGTACCCATATGAAATTTTGATCATTTTTTTCTCACAAATAGAGCTTTCTTTTGGTGGTATTTAATTGCCACTGGGCGCTTTACTTTTTGCGCTATAATAATAAAAAAATTGCAAAAAATTTGAAAAAAAAAAAGTTTCTTTGTTTCTATTATAAAATTTTTCAAACAGGTAATTTTTCTCCTTCACTGATGTGCGTTGATGAGGCAGCACTGATGGGCACTGATAGGCGGCACTGATGGGCACTGATGGGCAGCACTAAAGGGCACTGATGTACTAATGAGGTGGCACGGATAGGCGGCACTGATAGACAGCACTAATGAGGTGTCACGGATAGGCGGCACTAATATGCAGCACTGATAGGCGGCACTGATAGGTGACACTGATGATGGGTACTGATAGACGGCACTGACTGGCATCACTGCTGGGCACTGACTGGCGGCACTGACTGGCACAACCGCTGGGCACTGACTGGTGGCACTGACTGGGCAGCACTGCTGGGCTGCACTGGTGGGTGGCACTGGTGGGCAGCACTGGTAGGTGGGCACAGGTGGGTGGCACTGCTGGGCACAGGTGGGTGGCACTTCTGGGCACAGGTGTGTGACACTGCAGAGTGGCACAGGTGGGTGCACTGCTGGGCACAGGTGGGTACACTGCTGGGCACAGGTGGGTGATCTGCTGGGCACAGGTGGGCGGAGCTAGTAGGCGCACTGCTGGGCACAGGTGGGCGGAACTTGCAGGTGGCACTGCTGGGCACCGATCATCAGGGCACTGATCATCAGTGCCCTGATGATCGGTGCCGATCCCCGCTCTGACAACTGCCGGTTTCTCGGCAGTACTTTCCTCACGATCTGACAGCGTGAGGAAAGTGCAGCCGAGAACCGGCACTTGCATTTCCCTCTGATCAGCATGTCATTGGACACCGCTGATCACGTGGTAAAAGGCCGCTGTGATTGGCCTTTTACCACATCACGTGATCAGCTGTGTCCGTAGGACACAGCGATCACGGAGATCGCCGGGTGCGCGCCCCCTGGGGCGCGCAGGAGAGTGCGTTCTGGGAGGACGTCATATGACGTCCACTCAGAACTGGCCGGCTGCAGTGCAGCCGTCATTCGCCTATCTGCGGTCGGCAACTAGTTAACAAACCCATAGTTTTGACTGATGTCGTCACAACCTGTAACTCAGAGGCAGGCTGATGATGTCACATTCTCTGACTCAGCCTATCAGAGGAAGCTTTGCATTCATTGATAGAATACATTGTTTAATCTGGCTGAGTGCCATTGTGATAGACTCTACTGTGTTCTGGACTGGAAGTCTTGGCTCGCTCCTGGAACACAGTGCGGTATGCTGTATGTAGATTGTAGGCTCTAACGTGCAGGGCCCTCTGTTTCCTGTTGTACCAAATTGTATTGTAACTGTGATGTCTACCTTCATTTTGTAAAACGCTACACAAAGTGTTGGCGCTATATACCGTATTTTTCGCTCCATAAGACACACTTTTTTCCCCCCAAAAAGGGGGGAAAATGTCAGTGCGTCTTATGGAGCGAATATGGAGCGGCCGGTCCGGTATTTCCGCCGCCGACACCGTGTCAGAATACCGGGCCGGCCGCCGCTCAGCTCTTCTCTGCAGCAGGACCTTACCTTAGTCTTCCCGCGCCGGCATCTTTAGTGTGGGAACCCGGCTGTGACAGCCAGGTGCTCACCGCGCATGCGCGAGAAGCGCTGCGCTTTGTGAATTGCCTGGCATCCTCTGAGACCTGTTATGTGTCCCAGAAGACGCAGGGCCATTCACAAAGCGCAGCACTTCTAGCGCATGCGCAGTGGGCACCTGGCTGTCACAGCCGGGTTCCCACACTGCAGGGAGGACACCTCCGCGGAAGTGGGACCTCCCTCCCCAAAGGTCCACAGTCTCCTTGTCATCCCCTGTACTGTCTGCAGTCTCTGGTCATCCCCTGCACTGTCTGCAGTCTCTGGTCATCTCCTGTACTGTCGGCAGTCTCTTGGTCATCCCTGTACTGTCTGCAGTCTCTGGTCATCTCCTGTACTGTCGGCAGTCTCTTGGTCATCCCTGTACTGTCTGCAGTCTCTGGTCATCTCCTGTACTGTCTGCAGTCTCTGGTCATCTCCTTTACTGTCTGCAGTCTCTTGTCATCCCTGTACTACGTCGCAGTCTATGGTCATCCCCTGTACTACGTCCGCAGTCTATGGTCATCTCCTGTACTACGTCCGCAGTCTCTGGTCATCCCCTGTACTGTGTCCGCAGTCGCTGGTCATCTCCTGTGCTGTCCGCAGTCTCTGGTCATCCCTGTACTACGTCTGCAGTCTCTGGTCATCTCCTGTACTGTCTGCAGTCTCTGGCCATCTCCTGTATTGTGTCCGCAGTTTCTGGTCATCCCTGTACTGTGTCCGCAGTTCTCTGGTCATCTCCTGTACTGTGTCCGCAGTCTCTGGTCATCTCCTGTACTGTGTCCGCAGTCTCTGGTCATCTCCTGTACTGTGTCCGCAGTCTCTGGTCCGTCTCCTGTACTGTGTCCGCAGTCTCTGGTCCGTCTCCTGTACTGTGTCCGCAGTCTCTGGTCCGTCTCCTGTACTGTGTCCGCAGTCTCTGGTCCGTCTCCTGTACTGTGTCCGCAGTCTCTGGTCATCTCCTGTACTGTGTCCGCAGTCTCTGGTCATCTCCTGTACTGTGTCCGCAGTCTCTGGTCATCTCCTGTACTGTGTCTGCAGTCTCTGGCCATCTCCTGTATTGTGTCCGCAGTTTCTGGTCATCCCTTGTACTGTGTCCGCAGTCTCTGGTCATCTCCTGTACTGTGTCCGCAGTCTCTGGTCATCTCCTGTACTGTGTCCGCAGTCTCTGGTCCGTCTCCTGTACTGTGTCCGCAGTCTCTGGTCCATCTCCTGTACTGTGTCCGCAGTCTCTGGTCCGTCTCCTGTACTGTGTCCGCAGTCTCCGGTCATCTCCTGTACTGTGTCCGCAGTCTCTGGTCATCTCCTGTACTGTGTCCGCAGTCTCTGGTCATCTCCTGTACTGTGTCCGCAGTCTCTGGCCATCTCCTGTACTGTGCCCGCAGTCTCTGGTCATCCCTTGTACTATGTCCGCAGTCTCTGGTCATCTGTACTGTGTCCGCAGTCTCTGGTCCATCTCCTGTACTGTGTCCGCAGTCTCTGGTCATCTCCTGTACTGTGTCCGCAGTCTCTTGCCATCTCCTGTACTGTGTCTGCAGTCTCCGGTCATCCCCTGTACTACGTCCGCAGTCTCCGGTCATCCCCTGTACTACGTTCGCAGTCTTTGGTCATCTCCTGTACTATGTCCACAGTCTCTGGTCATCTCCTGTACTGTGTCCGCAGTCTCTGGTCATCTCCTGTACTATGTCTGCAGTCCATTGGTTCAGAATATTTTTTTTATTGTTTTTCTCCTCTAAAACCTAGGTGCATCTTATGGTCAGGTGCGTCTTATGGAGCAAAAAATACGGTAAATCCTGTATAATAATAATAATGTAGCTACATACAGTTTATATCGTACATCCAGCAGCCTCACAGATTAGTGCGGGACATAGTTCATTTGGGCCAAGCTAGCCCAAACGAACTATTTAAAGTATATCAAAAGGTAGAAATCCACTTTAAAAATTCATTAGTTTCAATATCTACGCTTTTTTTTTTCCTGCAGACAAATGTACATTTGCTGCTTCCTGATGTTTTGCATTTATCTCATATTCACTGATACACACCTTTCAATTTTTAAACCAGTAATACAATAGGGCCTGCAGTCAAAATACAATATGCATGGAAGGAGATTGGTCCATTCCTGCTGTAAAGCAAGGATGGAGAAATATTTTTTATTTTCGTTCAGCCTGCAGGTTGAGCCAAAAAAAAAAAAAACAACCAAAAAACATTGTATGGCCAGCTTACAACATTGATGTAGAAGGCATATCAGAAGTTGTGAAATATGATTCTGAGGGTGCATCAACAGATTATGGATTTACAGCAGGCACATGCATATATAACCATGAATTTACAGATTCTACATAGTGGGAAAAAATTAGACTCTGCACGTGTAGAAGGCATTACAGAGCATGACATTACAGATTTCACAAAAGCGGTGCTTGAAGAAGTCAAGCCTGCACAGAGGATACGGAGGCATATCTGAACTCAAAGTAGATTTGTTACTTTCTGAATGGATTACACTCTTATGTCTCCCTGTGTCACCACATATATTTTCCTCTAAACATGCCTGTTTGGTCATCTGTTCAGTGGCTGATAAAGTTGACATTGCAGATTGTGCAGTATTAGAAATGGAGCATTTTGGCAGGCATATTTTTAGCTGACCAAGAGCTGATTCTGCTTCAACCAGTCCCTTTTTGGCAGCCTGCAATCTATTTTGTGAATCAGTTTTCTATTATTTCCTTTGGTAAACCTCTTCACTTTTTGGAGATGACCTTTGTCACGGATCCCCCTGCTCCTCTTTCTTCTTCCTCCCCCTCCTCCCTCCGGATCCCTGTACTCCACTGCCCCATTACATGCCCCTGCACCCACATGTAGCCCACATAAGGGAACTGCCTCCTGCTGAGGACTTCCCCACCTCTCCTCAGCTGAGCGTCCATGAGTCTGCCTCCCCAATGTTCCTGCATGTGGATTCCCCACATGCAGGCCACCTGTCAGTTTCCGCACGCCCCCTTCCCTTGTCTCGGCAGGCACAGCGTGGTCCTGATGTTTGCGCACTCTGTGCCCACTTGAGACAAAGGCCGCGCTCCCTGTGTGCAGGCAGAGTGAGGGGGCAGGGCTTATCACAGCAACACGATGCCAGGTCTTGTGTTGCCTGGCAATTTGAGAGTGTCCTGCTCCGGAGATAAACACCAAAGCAGGACCTGGGCATGGGGCAGTCTCTCCCCTGTTCACTCTTCTCCTCCCCTGCTGTTGTGCTGTGAGAGGTCTTATGCTGCGGCCAGACCCTACAGGCCCGCTCTATCCCAGGACCCGTGGACCTCTGAGGAGCCTGGCTGACCTAGCCACTGCTACTGGGTCCTTGCTCTCTCCATGGCTTGCCAAAGTTCTGCCTCCTTCTGTGTGCCAACCCCCCGCGCTGAGGATTTAACCCAGACTTAACCCTTGCCGCCAGAGTTCTGCCTCTTTGCTGTGTGCCAACCCCTGCGCTGAGTATTTAACCCAGACCTAACCCTTGCCCACCAGAGTTCTTCCTCTTTGCTGTGTGCCAACCCCCCGCGCTGAGGATTTAACCCAGACTTAACCCTTGCCGCCAGAGTTTTGCCTCCTTGCTGTGTGCCAACCCCTGCGCTGAGTATTTAACCCAGACCTAACCATTGCCCACCAGAGTTCTTCCTCCTTGCTGTGTGCCAACCCCTGCGCTGAGTATTTAACCCAGACCTAACCATTGCCCACCAGAGTTCTTCCTCCTTGCTGTGTGCCAATTCCTGCGCTGAGTATTTAACCCAGACCTAACCATTGCCCACCAGAGTTCTTCCTCCTTGCTGTGTGCCAATTCCTGTGCTGAGGACTTAACCCTTGCCCGCCAGAGTCCTGCCTCCCTGTTGTGGGCCCAGACTGTGCTACGGACATAACCCCCTTTTGCCTACTAGAACTCCGGTTATCCTTGTTGTGTGCCCCACCCTGTGTTACGGAGTTAACTGCTATACTAATCGTGTGCCTTCATATCACTCAATAAAAGCCTTGTGTGTCCCACTGCTCTCCACATGTGTTCTGTCCCACCTACACCTCCACCACAACATTCTTTTAGCAAACATGAGCACAGGCTGTTGGTAAAAACACCATACCAACAGTTTGTGCCCACATGTTTGTTAAAATAATACCATACTACTAATTGATATGCCTCTGTTAAAGGTATGTGTACTAGTGCATTAGTGGGATTATGTAAATGTTGGCACTTGCCTAAGAATAGGCCTCAACACTGTTGGATTGCAAAGGATTTTTCTCTGCATTGTGTTTTACTTGCCATTTGTTGACCCTATGATGGTACTTGGGTTTAGGGGGCCAGCCTTTTAGAAAACAAAGAAAATAAAATTTTTAAAATTGGTATGATCACCTCAAAAACCTTTTTCACCATATTGGCGTCTTCTGGAAGAGATATCTGTGTTAAGTCTTGATTGGAGAATGCTGACCTAGAGGATAGATTCAGAAATGAGGCAATGCTGCAACTGCCAAATAATTTTTCTGCAAGCAGATGGAGCTCCATGCTCCTTGTCACATGATGCATACAGGCTCCTTAGGATACATTCACACTTGCGAATATGCCCAGCAGAATTTACATTCGACAATCCCAGCAAGGGTTCCAAGCGATTAGCTGCGGGAAGCTGTCCCATTGAAAACAATGGGAGGCTCCTGACTCCCACAGTTAATCGAGGTTGCTTGCATGTAATCACCTGCGAGTGATTGGCCCTGGTTGCAGCTAAGCAGCCTCTAATTGCTTTCAATGGGGCTCCCTCCTGCAGCTAAACGCTTGGAACCCCAGTTGGGGTTTGCGTGTGTAAACACTGTCCAGCCAAATTATCAGATGTGAATATGGCCTAAGACTTTTCTGGTTCGTTTGCTGAAAAAGAGAGCCACCCAAATCCCACTATTAACAGTCCAGAAGTGATAGACTGACACCCCTTTCCCAAATAAATGATACCATTCCTAATATGCTCCAGACGTTTTTAATGTTTCATCAGTCAGTCAATTTTTAAGATTATTTTTAGAGAATGTGTGTCAAACACAAGGCCAGCGGGCCTAAATCGGCCATCAAGTCATTTCATGTGGCCCTCACACCACTCCTGCAGCTGTGGCACCCCCCTTATCTCAGCAGTTGACAACAGAGAGGAGTACAAAACTCCTTCGCCAGATCCTGCGCTTTTCTGTGCAGCTGCGAAGATGCTTGTCTCTGCTCCTCCGTTCTCTGCAGTTGAAACACAAATGAGTTGGATGGAGGAATCCCCCCAGCCGGGACTTTGTATTCTGACAGCGATGCAATGATCTGTGGCTGCAGCTGCTCATTAATGGAAAATTTCCCAGTGTGTCCCTTTGACAGAAGTCGATTGAACAACTGACCCCTGTTGAACAGGGGAGCCCACACACTCATCAAAATTAGATCAATGTATGGCCTGGTTTAGAAAAGATGACTTCTGGATCCACTTCATGTGCCTTAGCTTTTTCCTTCCTGGACACCCGGCCCACTTATGGCCCGTACACACTATAAGAAAATCGGACGAATGTATTCGTCCGACGAGCAATCGTGCAATTTTCGGGTGGTGTGTACATAATTTTCAACAGCCGATTCCGAGCTTACGAAGAAAAATTAACGATGGTGCAAACATCAAAATTTTTGTCGTTTGGGAACAGAACGAACGATTTTCGTTTAATGTGTACAGTTTTCATACGAGAAGAATTGGATACGAAAGACCGCGAATAATCAGAAGCTGCATATGAACTGGAAGAACCTGAAGAAAATAAACACCATGGAATATTCGTAGCATTACAACCATTAATGTCATTAATGTCAAGCAGTTTTCTTCACCCAACCCCCAAAAAAACAAACATTACATATGTCACTGCATCACAATGAATGTGTGTGTTTGCATGTTGTAAAATAAAAAATAAAAGGCGTGGCTACAGGGTCACACGTACATTACATCATCTCCACAGCTACACTATGACGTTCGTACGAAATGCCTTTATATCATACAATATTCTCATGCATAAAAGCACATCGCTTTCGACCAGTAGCATACAATATGATAACCAGACGATCGATTTTCTTATACTGTGTACGGGGCAATAGCCAGCTAGCTCAACAGCTTGCTCTCAAGGTGCGCATGCGTGGGATGCTTTTTATTCAGGATGTGTAGCGT